GGTCTGTAAATAATGCAGAAGACTTAGGAGCTTGTACATTAATGTAGCTTTGGTGTACAGTACTGTGTACAAGTTTAAAACAATCCCCTTTTATTTAATTTTCAAACAAGCACAAATGTCTATTTTGTAGTCTTTTAAATGACTTTGTAGGTGTACATAACCATGAAAGTGTCTAATAAATGACAGCATACCGAGGACAATGGACCAGTAGGTTACAAAAGAATGTTCAGATTTAAATAACTCAAGACTTTTTTAAAAGTCACCCTTTTTACAAACTTAAATCTTAATCGTATCCTTGTTGTATTTTGAATATTTTAAAATCAAAATCAGTGTTCGTCTCAGTTATTTAGGGCAGACCTTAGTGCCTTATGCTTGGCGCACGGACATACCACCAAAATGACCCGCCTATTGAGGCTTTCACCCTGTTCTGGCCGACAACACCATTTACACAGCCATTCACGACTTTATAAAAGCCTCTTCATGGCATCCAAGTGCACCAGTAATTTATTTTCCTAGAGCAGGGGGCTTCCAGTTTCTCCCACTTACTCCTTGTCAGGGTTGGGGCTGGTGCCTACCTCCAGCAGTCTTTAGCTGGATACATCCTGGACAGGTCGCCAGTTTGTCGCAGGGCAAAACAGAGACACATAATCATGCATACACACACTCATACCTAAGGGCATTTTGGAGAAACCAATTAACCTCCCAGTCATGTTTTTGGACTGTGGGAGGAAGCTGAAGTACCTGGAAAGAACCCACGCATGCACAGGGAGAACATGCAAACTCAATGCAGAAAGATCACGGACTGGGAATCGAACCAGGAGCTTTATTGCTGCAAGGCAACAGTTGTACCCACTTCATCACCATGCAGCCCCTCTGCTGTGCTCGAAGTTTGAAATTTTCTTCGGTGCAGAACTTCTGCGTGGAGTCTACAGAGAGGCATGGAAGCCCAAGATGACTTAATTTGGGCAGACCTTGCAGACGCCTCAAGCATAAACCATGATGATGATGATGAGATGAAGCACAGGAACATGAAACGATTGTCATTCAAAAAATAGAGAAGGTAGTACAGAAGTGAATAACCTCTCCCAAAATTGAAACACAAAATGTAAAAAAAAATCATTTAGGAAAAACAAGGTTTAGATGCCAGATAAGGCACCTGGTGCACCTAGTGAAAATATCTATTGATGTTTTTTATCTTTCGTTGTCCGCAGTATGACGGTGTCGCTGTTGTGACCAATTCAAGTAGGACAACCAGAAATCCCTCTTCCTTGCAAAACTTTCCGTCGCTGGGATTTTCTCAAAGCTTTCGAAGATCGGTCCTGTCCCTCAGTCTCCTTCCAAGCGAGGCATCAAGAAGGGATGCTGATCAGATGCCTGATACCTTTGAAGATCCTATTGTAGCATCAGGAAAATTTGAGTAGTAAATGCATTTTGAAAATACGTTACTACTTGATTGGAACAAAAATAATAGGTTGTGCCTGCTATTATTATACACAACATTGCAGAGTGATGAACAAAATTATTTGCTTGCTTTGCTTAAAATAAAACACTCCATGGCACACCGCTGTAGCAGATCACTAATAAAGTTCTGTTTTAGTTTGCTTTTTGTCATTAATGCTCTTTTTTGTATTGTTTAAACCTTGCCTGTACAGTCAAAAATCTCAAAGTAATTTAGGAAAAAAAATACACTAGAATTCATCTTGTCCTACTCCTGATTCAACCATTCCAGACTGCCTAAAACAAGTCGGCCAATCATGTTGCAGTTTAATCATTTAAGGTGGAACTTATAGCTGTGATGAAAAGGAGCTCCTGCTGTCACGTCTGCTTGGTTAGCATCCATGATTTCATCTTGGAAAGAGGAAGAGAAAGAGCGTAAATGTGTTAGTTGTTGTGGTTTCTTATGGTATCTACTGCCATTTTGTTTCCTACTGTGAAATAAAAATTGCCTATAAAACATTGTGCCGGCTAAAAACTAATTATTGCACTAAGGCTTATTGCTTTGCCCTCTAAGGTGACACTGCTAAATGTCGCTCCTTTCTCTGAACAGATTCCTTCAGTGCAGCCCCAGATTGATAATATGCAGGACTGAACCTGAGTGCTACACATGAATCGATCCGGCTTGCTAGGTTAGCGTTGCACGTTAAGTTCAGACTCGCATTGAGAGCTTCAAAAGCACTTAACGCACAAAAGGCAAAGTGTGTACAGACTTATATGACAGTCGCTGCCAGCCTCGTGTTCGATTGCAGATGCAATGGAGAGAGCGGCTTTGTTTACTTTTCCGTCATGACATAAAGCAATTTAAATTTGTTTTTAAGCAGGAAGCTACACTTCAGGCCAGTGGCCCCCTACGCAGCATTAGCCCTGAAAATCCCTAGTGACTCTAGGGAGTTTCCTGCTGGAAGTAAAAGCTTTTTTAGTTATGTGGTAAAAACTGCAAGTACCAGAATACAATATTTAAACTTTTTCTCAGGCAAGATTTAACATTTTAAATAAATGTAGGTATACATAATTAACTGTTTTATCGCAGTTCTGTAAGAAATTGTCTCAGTGGAGAGATCAGAGCTCTCTTATTCTACATTATATAAGACATTCTTCTGGCTTTTTATGTAAACCTTATGTTATGTAACATATAATATTTATATGTGTGTGTACATATATTTTATTATTTTTTTGTGTGGCTTTATTCTGACACCGCTTTAGGAGAAAAGGTCAATGCTTAGAAGCAAGGAGTGCCCCCCATTCCAGCTCTCAGATCAGTTTTTCTGTTTAGCGTCACACAGCGTCGAACTGCAAGCAATGTGCTCCCAACATCCCGTGCCTATGCTTGAAACGCTTTAAGACGCGCCACACCAGGGGGTCGGGGAGCTCTTTAGGACCTCAAGCCCCCCTTGACGTGTGTCCATCATAGACTTTGCATATCATCATCTGGACGCCTCTGACCCTAAAAACATGTTTGGTATGAGTGCAGCATCAGACCATTAGAGGCAACATAACACGCCCCTAATGCCATTATATCAGCCTTTTCTCTTGTACAAAAAAAAAAAAGCCTCCTATAAGGTTTAGGAGAAGTTATATGAATTTTGGACATTTTTATAGAATATAATTGTGATATCAGCTACTGTGTTGGGCAAGTTGTTCAGTCTTTGAGTCTCTCCTTAAAATTCTGACAAAGCTGAGTTATTAAATTGAGGTTAGGGCTTCATGGTCAAGTTCTTCATTGCCAGATTTAATAATGTCATAATGGATCTTTACTTGTGAACTAATTTGCACTTGTGTTAAAAAGTAAAATTAAAATGTAATTAAATATTCTATAAAAAAATAAAGGTTCTCAATAAATTAAACCAAGATATATATTAAAAGTACATGTTTAGCTTATATTGTAATGTATTCATTTACTTCTGTTTTTATTCAGTTATTTATCTAAGCTTTATTTACTGCAAGATATATGCATTTATTTATTTATAAAAAACTATTTGAAGATGTATTTTGTAATATTAGATTCATTTCATAATGGAATTTCGAATGGAGGGAAAGAGTTTATTCTGAGTTTACTCTCTGGGTCAGAGCTTTGAGGAGTAAGAACAGATTATAACCAGTCCAGTGGAGCTAAAGCACCTGCTAACGAGCAGTGAAGATACACTTTTTAAAGGTGTTTGAAGCAACGCTATGCTGCCCCACCACACAGCCAGACAGGCATCTAGACCAACAGCTAACTGTAGCTACAGGTACCAACAGGTCACTAGTTGTTCCTACGCACTAGCTGAACGTTTAGCAATCATGCTTTATCGTGCTAATATTCCTAACCAGTCTGCACAGATTTCTGTTAGTATACCAACTGCTATCCCATCTGTAAAGTTTTATTCAGTTGACTTGTTTGTCCCCAAACTCTAATTAGATCAAAATTGTTATACACTTGTTGTTATACACACCCAGTAAACCCAGTGAGCTGCACCAATCAGAACAACAAAGCTTGCTCTTTAGTCATGATCAAACAATCCGACTGAATAATTTTCATCCATTGAAATGCATCCTTAAATAACAATTGCAGATAAAATATATATTTTCAAACAAAATACCAAAAGTCTCACAGTAAACCAATATTCAAAGTTATTCCTTTTGAAAAAATGCAAAAAAAGACAAATTTGATAACCAGAGAAATCTCAATACAGCAATTATGTGCAATCCAATCATTTTCTTTAATACAGTTAGCACAAATATGTGACCTACAGTATAAAGGATAAATGGAATGGAAAATACTAAAGGATGGAACCCATCAGTAGTTTCTCTGTTCAACAAAAAGCTGCATCTTTGAATAATTTCCCCGGTAGGAATTAGCCTCTGGGGCATTTGTTCTAAATAGAAATGCAAATATGCAACTTTTACATGAGTACAGTTGCTCTTTTAAGACAGAAATGTCAATTTTAGGCAAAGTAACAATGTTAGCATAAAGTTGCATAAAGGAGTACATTTAATTAATGTCAGACAAAATATACAATTTTCATAATCTAAGAGATCTGATATAAATACTTGTGTGAAATCTAAGCAGTATCATTGACCTAATGAAGTTGGAAAAATACTTTTTCTTTTTTTTTATCAAAAAAGGGATTTTATCAGTATTTGATGTAAAAATGTAGGGGTTTGTATACTTTTTATGATTGGTGATGACTAAGGCCAAAGCCAACTGGATGTACAGAGGTCCAAGTTTAAGCATAAATGTATCCTTTTTAAGTTACTGGCTCTAAAAACAACAACAACAAAAAAATCCAACAAAATCAAGAAGCCCTAGAAGAGGCTTAAAAAAAGAACTCCACAAATCTATTAAGAGCCAAAACAAACTGCAGGCATGCTATCCAATCTTATAAGGTATGATCTGCTCAATAGACCCAAAGTAAAGTTTGTTACTGACCTTTTAAAACTGACAGGAAATGTTTAAAATTTCAGTCTGGAAAAAAAGAAATTAATGAACTTTGAAATAAAAAAAATATGATTATGACTTTTTTTTTAGGTCTTTGGTGTTTTTTCTAAATATAACTATTCTATACATATATATTTCAAGATATATTCTTCTGATTTTAAATGAGGTTTCATAAAGTGGACACCACATACAAGTAGAACGATAAACTTGTCATTTAAAGCATCCAGTTTGGAATATATTGCAACAGTATTGTCAAATCCTCTTATCTAATACTCTATCTAGGATCATTTTATTATTTTTTACACTGTAATATTGCTGCAATACTGAAGACTAAGCAAGTGTACTCATTTTTCCATTCTGATAATTGGTCAATAAATGCTATATGGAAACAGAATGGAAATTAAGTAACAGTCTATGCAAACTACGGAAAGTGTTCATGGAACATCATTACAGAAAAATACTTTCTGACCTTAGTCAAACTTGCTTAGAAGTATATACGTTCTGACAACACAGATGTCAGAGGGGACCCTCAGGACCTCAGTCTGTCACTAGGGGCAAGGCGACAAAGGCCGCGGTTCCAAGTTATTCCAGGCTAAGGCGGCTAAGGGAAGAGGAGGTCACAGTTCGCTGTGAACGCCCCTCTGCTTTAGCAGCGGCTGACAGGCCACAGGAGTCTCAAAGTCCATGATGTACTGGCATTTGCTGGGCTCCTTCACCAATCGCAGGGCTGTCTCCGTTCCACATGTCAGCGTGACCTAGAAAAGCACAGAAGAGGAGAAGCTGAGGTGATTTGGGGACAAAAAGTGGCTGTTACCCAAACTGGGAGCCATGGCAGTTTTAACTTAGAGGGCTGATTGAAGATGTCCAGCTGCTTGTTTCTGTGATTCCAAAAAGATTTGGTCTACTTCTTGGAAAAGGTAGAACCAGAGGGCATTAGAGACATTCACTGTGCGTGCAGCAGTCCCAGCGTCTGCAACCACATGACAGCATTGTCCCTCCTGTGGCTGTGCCTTTGGGACAGGCTGGGATAATGGGATATCACTACTGTCATTCACATCCAAAAATTGAGATGATGTAATTACAGTCGCCATGTATCCAACTGTTAAAGCTAGTATTCCTGCAAGATAGGAAAACAACATTTATTTATCCTTAACTGTTTGTTTAGAAACCCCTCACATGATTCTGAATCTTTAGGCGGCAGTCCTGTTAAATAAAATAACTTGTTACAACCACAAGACGGATATTACCATGCCACTGGCTCAGTTTTGTCCGTTTCTTGGATATAAAACTGGCAACAACATACACATTGTTTTTCTTTATGTGACCTAGTATCTGGTTCAACAGAAATGTTAAATGTTTTTGTGCTGCCTGGTTTTACAAAATACTTCCTTGCGTCCATAATTCATGTGGTTCCTTCCTCAGACATATGAGACAATATTCAAATGAACTCTTCTCAGTGCAAACACAGCCATTTTATACACACTATGTTTACTTAACTTGTCATAAAGAATTGAACGAAAGCACAACGAAAAGAAATTTTTGATTCAAAACAGATGGTTTGGTTCATGTAAACTGCATGCTGTTTGGCCGTCCCTCTGATTCAAAAGCATAGTTATAAATGTAGCAGTGTTTATTCAGGTTAAATATCGGTGCTTATGCTTTTCATTTTTTGTGTTCCGCCATGGAAAAACAGCTTTAACTACATTGTAGCATCTAGTTTATTATTTCACATTGCATTAGGCAGCTCCACTGGCTTTATTGGTACAAATCCCCACAATGATTATTTATGTTACTACTTGAATCATAATTGTCATAGTTGCGGTTTTGAATTAAACTCAAGGTGTAATGCCCAAAGTAAGGGCAAAACTATCTATGTTGTTCTGACTTTAATTCTTAAAAAAAACAACTAATAGTAATAATAATAATACTTTTATAATAATACCCTAATACCTTTGTATTTCATTGCATTTGTATATCCCACTGAAATTTGTTTTCTGCATTTAACCTACTGTATCAGTTCTGCTGTATCTGGATTACATCATGGCTCTATAGGAATATAAATAGAGCAACAAACAACTAAAGTGTTTATTTTATAAGCACTATTAGCATCTTGCATGCTTTCTCGTATCTAATCACTATACCTTTTTTTTAATGCAGTGAATTCAAATATTTAGTTTTACAGTTATGTATTTTATTTAGTGCTTGTATTTACTATGGCTGTTGATCATCTGTATGAACAGATTATTTTGTAATATAAAAGCCTAAAACATGCGTTCCACAGAATGCGGTCTTTTACTTGTAAACTCAACCAGGTCCACTTTTCTTCAACAGTTTCCTACCTCACAGATTGGCTCAGTTCTAGATTGCTGTCTAGCTGGAATAGCAAGCAGCAAAAATAAAACAACTATTTTAGAGAAGGGGCCAATGGCCAGCTCATCTTGGACATCTCAGAAACGTGTCGCAACCAGGGGAACAACTCTGATTGACTTTAACTGCAGCGATCAGCTGCAGGAGCATTGCAGGACTAAAGGTCACGGACCTAGAAAGGCAGTGAGATGTAAGCATGTGATCTTAAAGGTTTAGTGGAGGATGTTGTTTTTCTGGGTGGATCATCAAAATAATTGGTCCTCATAATTGTCAATCATCCTACGTGTTCGTCCCCATTTTACTTACCTGTGGTGAGTCTGACATTGTGGAAAAATTGCAAATCTTCTTTTGGAAAGTAATCTTGTCTGAGCGATGCAAACTACTTTTAAACAGAGCGTGCACGAGGAGAAATGGGCTCGTGTATGCTCTCACAGGCGTTTAATAGGAGTTCCCTCTCAGGAGCGGGTACAGGGTTGTGCATGTGCAATTTTTTATTTTTTTTTTTAAGTGTAGAGGGCGGGTCTTTTCAGAAATTTGGGAAAATCCTCCACTATACCTTTAAAGCATTTCCAGGATGCAAACATGTTGCTACCAATAGGCCACAACTTTCAATAACGACCTATTAAACAGATAATATTCAAAAGCCATTTTATTTGAAAAAAATTGATAAAGCAAAAAGTGCTTAAGGAGATTTTAAAACATGTTGATCACTTAATTACATATAAAAAAAAAAGAATGTAATCAGGACGAAAGGATAGAATTGGCTTCATATTGCTCGGTTGTGAAATCACAAATAAATCACAATAAGTTAAAAATCTAACTAAAATATTTGATCATATTGTTTATGAATTGTATTTATTAGCCAATATTTCATAAACTGTCTATGCATCTTTCAGTACAACAGAACTAATAGGGTCTAAAATGCTAACTAGTTAACTAGCATACCAATAAATTAGCATTCTCCAGGGTGTGTGAAAGTTATGGTTGAGGATTTTTGTGAATTTTTTAAAAGACCCGCCCTCTCCACTTTACAAACAAAAAAAAGCATATGCACAACCCTGTATTCGCATCCGAGAGGGAATGCTTATTAAACGCATGTGAGAGCGTGCACGAGCCCCTTTCTCCACGTGCACGCTCTTTTTAAAAGTTGCTGTTTGCATCGCTCATACAAGCTTACTTTTCAAAAGATTTGCAATTTTTCCACCATGTCAGACTCGCCACAGGTAAGTAAAAATGAAGACGAGCACATAGGACGGCCTTACGTAAACATATCAACAGAATGATTGACAATTAAGAGGACCACTTATTTTGATGATCCACCCAGAAAAAGAACATTCTCTACTTTACCTTTAAGCCTGCTAATTCAACCTCTATATATCATTTATGTAGAGGGTGTGATTTTGATGAAAGATGACAGAAAACAGGAAATAAAAGGGACAGTTCAACCTCTCAGCTCCAGTAAATAAGCAAACAAATGTGATTGTATCAAACTGGTTGGTTGATTACAATATTGCAGCAGCCAGTTCCTTTTACCCCATTTTTGCAGATTTAGACGGTCTTTCCACTGCCTTTTATTGATCATAATTTTGTATTAGGATTTTAAATGAAAAAGAAAAGTAATGACATATTTCTCATGATAAATAAATCAGTTAGTACTAAAGCCTCTCATTTCTTGGAGACAAATAAATCAGTAAAGAACAGACTTCCACTGACCCAATTTATCAGAGAATGCAGCTGGTTAACATTCTGCAGCCAGAGTTGTTGTAGTCGGTTCTTACAAGCTACAGCCCCAGCCTAAGAATTTAATTAATAAATTAAACAGTTGACTTCCCTCCTTCCCCACAGACTCATAAGATTAACTACACAGAGCTTAAATTTGGATTACCCAAAGTAAAACAATACATCATTGGTCCCTACTTAGATGCAAAAAAAGAAGAAAGTGTTATTTTATCCAAGTGAAAGAGGGAGAGGGCACCATCCTAGGCTGACTTTCAACATTTCAAATATAATGAGCGTCAACTTCTGACGAGTCTTCATCTATGCTGCCTGCACACGGTTCTGGGGTTGTATCAAAGGAATTCAATTTAGTCTTTTCAAAGGGAGGCCCTGGATGGTTAGAGCACATACATTTACAAACGACGTTGACTGGGATCTGATCTGAAGAGTGGGCAAGGGTAAAAAAAAGAAAAGAAAATGAAACTAAACCTATTAAATGTGCTACATATTTAACTAAGCAAATTCTAGCAGAAAAGAAAAACATGTAAATGGGCCTCATGAAAGTGACTGAAGAGTGTCTGTGGGTGTGGGAAACATGCTGAGGTTTTAGAGAAAGGAAAAGATGTTTGAGGGCTCAGGTAGAGGGGTCTTGAGAGTAAAAAAAAAAGTTTGGTGACAAATAGGCAGCAGACTGATCAGTATTGATTATTTGTTATCCAAAAAAAGGGAGATTTTTGGTAGACTGTTGCAGAGGGGATGCAGATATGAACCTTTAAAGGTTCTAATGACGACCTAACTAGTGCTTTTACAGTAAGCAGAAAAGCTCCAAACTGTCCCTTGATGCGAGATTCATTTCATTATTATCTAGTTTTCCTTCATTCAAGTGTTTTCATTCTTAAAGTGGATTAGTATTGCTAAATTTATTACAGACCTTTCTTCACATTTGAAGTCGAATTATTTCCCCATTAAGACAAATTCTAAACACGACCCTGGTTTATGTTTTGCTCTTAAGACGACACTTTGCAGCCCTTCTCCTTCCATCACCACCATATTAACACCATAAATTGTTATTCTTTTTCACAGAAGATACCTCTGAACATCTACATAACAGCTTGCTTGGCCTCAGTTTTAACAGAAGAAAAAAATAAGATGCAGCTGAATAACATTCTCTGAATAATACAATGATCACCCAGAGCGGATTGAGCTTTTATGGAAGGTGGATGTTGGTTAATATTACAGTTAGGAAAATAAGTATTGGAACACGCTGCTATTTTGCAGGTTTTTCTACTTAGAAATCACGGAGGAGTCTGAATTTTTCATTGTAGTTGCATGTCCACAATGAGAGTCTGATATAGCTGCAAAGAGGTCACAACATTTCTAAGTGGGGGAACTTTCAAATTAGCAGGGTGTTCAAATACTAATTTTCCTCACTGTACATCCACACAAAGAATCGCTAAAAGTACAAGCAAAAAGGGATCAAATCAGACAGAATATTTTTTCCTCAATTAGATATTAAATAATGGGCAAAAGTTTTAGAAAAGCCCAGTTTTCCCTACAACAAATACTAAATAAAGTGAACTGCAGAGGACCAAGACAAGGAAAAACTTTTACATGCAGTGGTTTTTAGATTTTTTTATGTGGCAAAATGTATTCTTATGTACATACTAAGTATTTTGGCTCTACGGAATAATCTAAACCTTTTAGTTGGGGATAGACAAAGGATTATATAATTATTTATATCCTAATGGTATGCTTTATTTATTAGTAAAGAGTGATAAAGAAGGCAACCTGTCTAAATAAAGCTTCAAAATCCCTCATTAGTAGTGGACAATATGTTGCAAAGCAATGCCGCATATAAACTCATAGAGCTAACAATGCTAATAATGAGGACATTATAATAAAAATATGCACATGACTTGGTTATGCAGTTAAGTAATGAATGGGATACAGTCTGATCTGGCAGAGGTTTGTTTATGTGAAGTTTGTCAAATAATATATTTATGAACTGTTACAATATACACTAATTGTTCAATATTGTCTGCACTAAATGCTCTATGAGAGCCTCAAAACTAGCAGAAACTCACCTGCTTTCTCCATCAAACCTCCTATATAACTTCTCATTCTTTATTAAGACATTTTACTTTTTGTCTGCAGGCATGATTCACTCTTTAAATGATCACTGACATGGCCTTATACTACAGTATATTCAATAACTGATCATTTACTCCACATAAACAAACACATTAACCATCATACCTTATCGGTATCAGGAGATGGTCAGGGTATGGAGGACTGATGGTTACGTTTCTGTGTTCTTATGTGTCTGTAATGTTTTTGTCCTGCTGGCTCTTGGGTCATGAACAGCCATCTGTGCTCCATTTTAAAAACCACACCAACAACATGCCATATTATAGACATATTATAGACTCTGGACAATTTCATTTTTTTTAAAGTGCAGCCTTGAAAAATAGTAAAAAAAAATATATAAAACAGTAATATAAACATATGACTGTAAATTCACAGTTCTAACATTTTCAGTTTTTTATATATATAATGATAAAATATAATAAATAATGATAAAATACAATACAATAACACATTTTACAAAACTATTTCTGTTAGTGTTGTTAGGTTTCCCCAACCTTAACCTATAAAAAATGGAAACAAAGACAGTGTAAGATTTTTCCTGAATTGCTTTGCAAAGGGGAGTCCAGAGTTGAACCGTCAATCTCTGCATCTCCGCTTGGCTCAACACTTGCCAGGCTTTTTATTGAGCAGTCAACACATTACAACAGCAGGCGTTAGTTTCGATTACGCAGTCTCTTAGACATAGCATGAACTTTTAAGATAGGGAACTTGCCTGGTTTCAGCATACGCTTTACAAAAAGGTGTCGGGGTTATGACTTTTCACTTCTCTGCTTCTCAAATGAAAAACAGGAAAGCATTCTCTTATGACCTTCATACACTATTTCTAATGATGAGAGTAACATATAGAAAAACAAATGATTGAGAGCAATATAAAACATATACATGAATAAAATGATAAAAACAACAGAAATCATAATAATTCCAACAATTTCATAGTTTGCTTTGCATTCTGCCCCACTGATGCTGCTCAGCTAGGATTCGTTTTTTTTTTCCCGATTTCAGGTTATTATGTGATTCTTTCAGAGTATGTGGTAAAGTATCTGGTACAATGGGGGCTGACAGATAGCAGTATTAAAACAACCTTGCCACTAAAGCTATTTTCATTTATGAAAGGTGCCAACCCTGTGGAACACTCACAGAGTATGTTATATAGTCATACCTTCTAAGTGAGAAAATTAAATAGAGCAGAGGTCCTCAATGAAAAAGAAATACTCAAGGCAACTGGTTAGTATACCTACGTATGTCAGGTATCCACAGCTTTTTATGTCTGAATTACTTATTTTTGTATTAAATTATGCATTCAGTGCATCTTAATTCATTTTTTGAGACATTGGAAATAATTAGGTTGAGCAAGTTTAAGTAATGAAAGCTTTTTACATTTGCTTTAAAAATTCTAATGGGCTTTGCAAAACAAACAGCTATATAGGAAAGTTCTTTTGATTCAAGTCAAAATTAAATTTAACCTGTGATATTGCTCAATGAGACATGGACCTTTTTACGTCTGAGAAACCTTTGAATATCATAATTATTTCAACCAATAATGTGTGTATATACATATATAAACAGGTAAATAAGGAAATTTTGCGAAGAAAATAATTTACTATTTAAGGACCTAATAGCCAAGAGGAATATGAGTAAAAGTCAGGCGAATTGTGAGAATAACGCTTCTAGAGTAGGTTCACCAGTGTGTGCTTTTCAAGGCTGCGTCCACTTTTACTTACAGTAGTTGTGCGAGAACCTCCTTCCCAGCACGGTTCCCCGTTCTCATACACCATCTGACTGTAGTGGTTCTTTGGCGGTCCTGCCCACATCCCCCATGTTCTGAAGCCAAAACAGAGGCAAAGAAGAAAAAAAAAAAGAGGCATCTTTCATGACTTTTACAGAGGACTTCTGAGCATTAAAGAACATTTGATACAAACTGAGAGAATCTTTTTTTAAAGCATCACTCGTTTGGCACTCTGAAACACACTTTTATTTCAGCAAAAAATATAAAAATAAATAAAAGCCTGCAAGATGGTAAGTCTGGCAGTGCCCTTCTTTGGCACTGGTACACAAACGTCCTCTCTTTGCTCAACAATGGAGAGAAAATATTAATTAACGTTGTGCTAGTGCTGTGTGCAACTATACACAGGGGAAGCAGAAGAGGAAAACTCAGATGAGCGTGCCTGCCCATTGCTAGCTAATTATATTCTCACCAAATATTTCTAGGGGATAATAGAAACCAAACCATACCAGGGTGCCAGTGGGAGGTATCCTGCACTGTATCGACATATGCCTTTTCATTATGCTGACATTCTCTCATGCTCTGCTTAAATTAGGTAACAATTACAGGCAGCTAAGCAGATTTGATTTAGGTAATATCCTGGTATATGGCAGAACCTTGGATTTGGTTAATTTTACTCCTCTTTTTCACTTGCATCTAGTATCTAGTTTATCCGCAGCACAGGGCATAAATAATGAAGTAAATCTTTGTCTGACTTTCTGCAGACCTTTTTTACAATCTTCTTTCAGTAGCCATTAATCATTCTCTGTATCAAGCTATAAATTCTATTCTTTTTTTTCTTAGAACTGTTCTGTTCATTTGCTTAAGTGCCATCCACACCGTTGCCAACTCTTTCACAAGATGCAACAGCAGCTCTGTGTGCCTCCACTGGTCTTTCCTCAAAGAAATAAACCAGTAAAATTAGCCTTGCTCGGTCAGGGCTTTTAATATAAACAAAGATAACTTGTGTTATTTCCTAAATAATTAATGTTTTATTTATTAACCTAAAGGTCAAACATTTTCAAGCTTATATAAATTTGCCAATTATGAACAACACACATTTTGTCAGAAATACTAAAATAATTCTGTGACATACACATAAAATAACATAAAACATTTTATCTGAAACAAGTTCAGACAACATATCCATCAGAATATTTTTCTAAAAGTCGCCATTGATTCATAAGTGTTCAGTTTCAGTACTTTTTAAAGCCTATTTCAAACTTTTGCTGCAGCATAATGGAAAGCTGGTCTTGCAGGCTAACAAAGAATCCAAAATGACTCCTCATTCCTGAGGGGCGGACCCATTCTTCTGGTTCAATTTGCATGTTTTTTTTAAGCCAAAACAAGTTTTTGGGCTACTATATAAAGCTTCGAACTCAACGCTAATTCTGACATCTTTTTCATCATTGAAAAAGCTTCCAGGATGGGAAGCGAAACGTTTTCAGTCCAGTGGAACTTTTTTGGAATGACTTGGGCAGAGCCTTTATCATAGGAATTCAGAAAAATGTCCAAACAATGATAAACAAAGGATGCATATAGACTTTTTAGATATAAAAAAAACCAAATACCAATGGCGTTTGATTCTGTAATCGTAGGGATTTTCAGTTTACATTAGAATACAGACAACAGTGCCGTGTGCAAATGAAGCACTTGCTGGAGGGCCACATAAGTCAAGGTTTCTTTAGCTAATGTTTGGAGCTGATCTTTATTGAGTATAATGTCACTTTAATCAAACATCAGTCTTATTGTCATCTGGATCAAGGTTTTCTTAGCAGATAAAGGGAAAGATGAAGCCACATGCTAAAAAAAAAGAGGAGTTTAGAATTGATTACTATCCAACCGGATTCCTAGAAACTTGTTCATTAGCCTGTCATTAGAGGTGGTGATGGTTGGGAGTTTAAAAGATTATAGATTACTTTACCTTACACAAATTACTTTATTTTGTCAGTACAGCAGTATTTCTTTTGACAAAGAGACAGATTACACCTCAAAAATGATCTATAAATAAGTAAACATTTATTAAATTAAGTGTATTTACTCTTAATAATGTAATCTGCCATTGGAATGAGTATATTTACCTGCTTAGATTAAGGGTATTTGCCCTTAATCTAAGCAGGTAAATAAGGTAATCTGCCAATGGAATGAGAGTATATTTACTCTTAAGATAAGATAATTAGATAACATGCACTTGAAATAGGACAACGCAATTATTTTTTTTCTTATTTGAACTTAAAAACATAAATGATCTTATTTGATTGGTTAAGTGTCTCACTTACCTCCTTGGTTCAAGAAAAAAGCATTTATTTAACTAGAAGATGACTGATTTAGATAAAAAAAATTTTGTAGTGCACTGCGCTGTGCCTATTTTCTTTATTAGCACCATTAAGAGCAGAAACAGAGCGAGCAAGTCAGACAAAAGGTTGAGAGATTGTTTAAAAGCATGGTTAGGTTCTAAAACAATGTTCAAGCTTTTTAGAAAACAACAGCAAATCAACAAAGAAATGGCCACACTATTTCAATCTGAAAAACTCACACAGAGAGAAAAGATAATTAGAAGAATTTATTGATAAGAAAGTATAGTCTTTGGCGCTCAGACCTCGGCAGGAACATTCATGCTGAATTATGCTTTAACATGCATGAGCCTGAAACTGGTGGTGGTTTGATCCGAGCTGGTTGACAAGGTGATCTGCTGGGCAGAATTGTGGGACTAGAAGACTAAGGGAGCTGACGCCGGGGCTTCACTCAGACTCGGGATATAGAAGTCCTGCTCGGTGATGCGGGTACCGTGAACTGTCCATGATGAGCAAGCATGAAGCGACAGTGGAGAGGAAAAACTCCCCCTTGGGAAGAAACCTCTGGCAGAACCGGGCTCAACATGGTGGTCTTCTGCCGGACCAATGCGATGAGACGAGGGATGGTGACAACTGGGATTAATACTCTTGATGAGGTTGAGGTAGGGTGACCAAACGTCCGTATTTCCCGGGACATATCCGTATTTCACGTCCTGTCCCGGGCGTCCCGGGTTTTTTTTAGAAAGTGAGGAAATGTCCTGATTTCACTCCGCACGACGCTCCGTGTGACGTAATCCCTGAGCCGCGTCAGTGCGGGCAGCCCTGTTCTTAATCAGAGGCTCTTGCTCTGTTCGAAAACCTAGGACGCATCCTCCAAGGACGCGGTCTACCTAGACTGGATCCTTCGAAGTCCTTGAAAATAAGGAGGCTGGAAGAGTTTTGGCTGTTAATTCGAACAGGTCCACCCTTCGGCGGGTTTTACCTGTATGCTCTGTTGCTTAGCAACCATGAAAGTTGACACACAAAGCAGGAAAAGAATGAATACCGAGGTTTTCAAAATTGTTTGTTTATTTATTTATTTTAAAAAAAGTTAAAGCGAACAAAGACTACACTCACAAGAATCCAGAGTGGAATAAAGGTTTTAACCACCGGTAGCAGGAACAAATAAAATCAAATGTAATGATAGAAACCTTAGTCAGTTAAATAACCTGCTGCTGTCATTCTGCACATCTCTGATGTTGCTGCTCTTTTCAAATATCCAATACTGTAAAAATGTCCATAGCAGCATATTGGTTTTTAATTATCCGGTTTTATATTGTTAAAACACTTTACAGAATTGCATTTTTTATATTTTAACTCTTCCCTATTATGTTATTCTTATACATTTTCTAAGGTCCTCATTTGTGTGACCATTTTCAATAAACTTTCTGCTGCTGTAAATTTGCCCATTGTGGGACAATAAAGGGATTTTCTATTCTATTCTATAAAAGGGTTAGAAATATATAAGGAAATCTAAACAATGTATCTACAAAATATATCTGCAAAATCTCTAATATTCAACAACAAAAAATACTTAGTTAAGCATATTGTGCAATACAACAATAAAAAAATTTAAATCCTATCAGATTTATAGTTCCCACTCTGCAGATTTATTAGAATCTGTCCTTAAATTACAGCCAAACCCATTTACACAGTAACAGATAAAAACCTTCAGATAAACCAAACATTACCGCCTCATATCTGACTCAATAACCATTAAAACAACTATTTTCATTTATTTCAGACGGAACTATTCACAGAGTTGTATTATATTAAACTGAACTTCCAATTTTCACCACTGTAGTGCGCCAAGTAACATTTCCTCTGATCACGGAGCAAATCCCGATGATGAGACATTTGTTCTTTCAATCAACCCCCCCCCCCCCCCCCCCCCCCCCAGCTCCAAGGTGTCCTGGTTTTCCCAAATGAAAATATGGTCACCCTAGTTGAGGTTAAGTCGTGTCATGAAGGACGATTCAGCTGCGATGGCGGAGAAGGGGATGGAGGTGGGTGAATTGTCGTCTGAATCGAAATCCGACATTGCGATTGCAGGATAGCGGCTGGGGTGAGATTTGAGGGAGTTTATAAAGTGGAAGCAGGACGCTGATTGGGCTTCGTGGTGGAGTAGTTCGAAGCTGATTGGCTCGCTTCGGAGACGGATCAGCTTCTGATTGATGGAGGTAAGTCAGAGTTTCTTCAATTGAACTTCTGCTAGAGCTTCATAATGTCGGGTAAGAGAGGAACATTAATTAAAAAAGCAGACAAAAACCCCAAAGTAAATCTGCAGGAGCTATAGAGATCCAGAGTTCAGAAAGTTAATTATTCACTGTACACTTCTAGAATGAGGCTTGTACAGTATGGGAAAGGACAAGAGCAAAGTCAAACCAGGTACTGTTTGGGTTTGTCACATGCCATGAAGCATGCACAAGTGTCTAAACTGTAAGAAAATAGAAAAGACCTCATACTGTTCATCTTCTAACATCTTTAACATAGACCCATAGGTACAAGACGAACCGCTCTGGTTAAATCTAACTCTAGACGTGAAAATGACCCCACAAATTTAAGGTTGATACTGTTGGGAAAATCTTTATCTATTTTTATTTTTCCAACTCAGTAAGGTGGATACAAAAGCAAACTGTTATTTTTTACATTCAAGCTAATAAAAAAAAAAAAAGAACAGACATATTTTCCATACACCAGTCTTTATTACTTGTTTGAATATACAT